GGTATTTGAAAAAAAGAAAATTTGGCAAAAGCCTCGCCACATTTCAAATTTCGGGTAGCGTGCTCTCGTTTCTTTACGTTTTTACAATGCAAAATATTTCTATTAACTTAACATGGAAATGAACTTTGACTCCCGTTCTATGTCAAAGTTTAAAATTCGATCTCCGTCACGACATGCCATTTTATTAGTTCTATTAATTTGCAAAATTTCGTTCAAATCGGTCAAGTCATTACTTTGCAAAACGTGTTTTAGCGATTTGTCTATTTGATTCACTGGCAAAGAAGCTTGTTCGCTTCGGTCTCTGCGCTTCAATAAAATCTTTTTATAAAACAATAACTTTATTTTTTTAACACAAGAAAGTCATAATCTAAGAATATAACTTTAAAGCTTCGTTAATTAATAATAACGAAAAAATATTCGAATGAGAAACTATGCATATTCTTATGCATAGTTTCTCATTCGAATATTTGCAGAAGATGCATATTAAATGAGAAACTATGCATATTCTTATGCATAGTTTCTCATTTAATATGCATCTTCTGAATGAGAAATTCATACCAAATTGTTAATTTCATCAAACATTTTATCATAAATCATCAAACCAATTTTTTAGACCTTATGTTTAAGCTTATTATATCATAAAAATTTTTTATCAGTTCTAGGTTTTTGAATGCAGAGATTATCGAATAATTTATAATGTTAATTGTTATCTTAAAGTAATATTTTAATCCCTAAACGTCGTTTCATTTAATAATAATTGCGATAGATTGGAATACAAAGAATACAGGGTACAAAGTGAACTTTTGGAAAATATTAACTAAAATACAGTAACTGAAACGAAAACATAGACAGATACTTATTTTGTAAAGTCATTTACAGTAGAACCCCTCTAGTCCGCCCTCGGCTAGTCCGTCACTCCGGTTAATCCGACCGTGGTCGAAGTCCAGAAACTTGTCCCGACTCGTCGGTCTCACCGTCCATGGTGTTTTTCTGTGTTCGTTACAGTATTTGTTTTACATTGTGTGTACATGTACAGTTTTGTGTGTGTTTTCAATATGTCAGGAGTGAAACGTAAACACGTTACTCTTTCATTAAATGAAAAATTAGCAGTGCTACAAAGACTGGACAAAGGGGAAGATTGTTTATTTTACTTTTTTCTGATAATCCGACCTTTTTTGCGTTCCGACCATACCCCTAGTCCCAAAGGTGACGGATTAGAGGGGTTGTACTGTAAATTGAAGACAAGTTATTTTTTTAAATAATTAAAAAATAATGAAAAAAATCATTATTTTAATTATTTTAAAAATGTTGCTTGTCTTTCGTTTTTTATTAGTTTGTTTCAGCATGCACTTCACTGCTATATAATTTAACCGGCAGAGAAATAAGAATGATTATTTTTATTCTTATTTGTCTGCCAGTTATATCAATACTTGTCACAGAGAAAACATTTTTGTCAAATTGCATAATTTATTTAACAATATGAGAAAAATCTCATAGATTATAGAGATAGAGACTATGTCAAGCTTAAAATGTATTCCAATTTTTATGTATTGAATCAATTTTTAATATAAACTACACGTTAAAATACAAATTAGTATTTAAGATTATATGCTACATCGAGATTATAGCCTTGTACAGTACATGGTTCAACATGATGATAGGACATAAATATTCTTGATGAATCATGAATAATTGTCGCATTTTAAAGAACATAATATGGTGACAATACAAAAATTGTGTCAATTTAAGGATTAGTGTTTCTAAGTAATGAAACATTAATCCTTAAATAAATCAATGAGTATTTATAAAAATTATTTTTAAAACCTAGTTTAAAATTTTAATATTTTTTGTATTTCCATAAATATTAAAAATTAAAAAGAAAAACCTTGATAATTTACTCAAATTTCAGATAAATTATTGGTTATCAGGAAATTTTGTTTGTAATGCTTCAAAAAGAAAAAATAAAAAACGTGTCGGGACATCTTGAGGTATTCTGAAGGCCACGTTGAAAACCACTAGTTTAGAGTACAAAATATATGTAATTTAACTTTACAAAAACTTAAAATTTTACGTCCTGTTTGCTGTCGTATCAAATTCCATTAAATATTTTAGGGCATCAAAAAATAAATAATACACTAAAAAATTGTATGAACGTATCTTTGAATTTAGGACGAAAAGACTCACCATATTATAGGAAGCACCTTCATTATAAAAATACTGATGAAGTTTTATTATTAAGTTGATTCAAAATATAGCATTAAGTTAATAAAAATGAAGAATCATAGTGTTCCTACCTGTGTTTACAAAACATGTAGAAAACTTTTAGATCCTGAAATTCAGTAGGCAGCTGTCTCGTTGTTCCGGCATGCTCATGTTCACTGAAAAATAAAAAAAAGTTTCACTTCCAGATGGATGACTGGTATTTTTCTGTAAAATACATCTATTGGAATAGAATGAAGGATTGAAAATCTTTATTCTACTCCATATGTTTGTGGTAAATTTATCAAGAACTTGGTTCATGAACTTCAATGGAAAATTTTTGCGAATAATTTCTTAACTCTGAGAGATAATATTTTTATCTTTGAGAAATAGTTTCTTTTATCCGAACCTAGGATCATTTTATTTTTTGTAAGGAGGCTTTATGGCAGCATTGAAATAGACGATTGTGTAATAAGTACAGTAATAGGAGAGATCAGATTCGAAGCAAACATTTTAATTTCAGAATTCGAATTAATTGAACAGAAGAAAAATCTAAAATAATCTCATAGAATCTAATTAAAGAAATTAATTTTTGAGAATTTTATGACTTCATGGCTTAGGATATGCCACAAGCGAACGTATCTTTCTTGTGGATATTTAACGCATGCAAAAATATAGAAAAAGTTAATTAATTAATTCTTTAGATTTTTAGTATTTCTAATAGATTTTTAAAATATAAAATAGGCAAACCTACGAGAGGAAAATTTAAATAAAATATTCAAAGACGCAATACTTAGGGTCATAAAGATCGAGAGAAACCGGAAAGGCTAAATATTCTGGCAAAACTTGATTTATCTTCGTGCAAAGTTGTAGGAATTTGCTTTCATATTAAATATTTTAACAACTTGTACGGCAACGTTGAAATGAATATTTGCTTTGGTTAGAAATGAAACATAATATTAACTAGTTTTCCAATTAGAATATTCCAAACTATATTCTGTCTTGTCTTGTAAGAAATATTCAATAAATCATAAATTTTATCATATTTTGAATGCAAGCTGTTATTATAGGTCAATGGCTTTATTGTGAAAATACACGCCGTTCGTGAAACCCATTAACAGCGCGAAACAATAGATTTTAATATGAAGCTGGAATAACCTAATTAGAATTTTAAAATAGAATTAATAAAGAATTTGTTAATGCAAAAAACAAAATTTATAGAAGATATTTTTTTTAAAAAATTACAAAATTGTTATTAAGGTTTTTGTTAACAATTTGATTAAAATTTACATGTGAAAAAAAAATGGCTGATTTTCATAATTACTTCAAAACCTAATTTTCAGCCTTAATAAATTGCATTTAATTAAACTTTATATCATTAAATTGATTTTTATTACTTTTTTTAATGTCAAAATGCATTTACTTACTCTGTTTACGAGCAAAACGTGAAAACAGATTTTTCCAAGAATTGCTAGTACGTGCATTTAACATAGAAGATATGGCGTATTTATTATAAAATTACATAATTATGTTGAAATATAAAATGTGCTAAAACCGATAAAAACTATAATTTGATAAATAAAAAAACAGCATCCAGTAATTAAATTCTCGATAAAACATTATCTTTTTTGTACCGTGTTTAAAGATTACATAAAATATTTGAAATATTTTTGATAAGCTCAATTTTTAAATTGATGTAATAAGTTCACTAAGCTAACATTCATATAATCATTTATTTATAAAATTATATATACAAAAGGGAAGCATTTTACGAAGTTAGAAGATTAGAGTATTACTTAGTATTGATATTTTATATATACAGTATACATACGTAAAGGCTGAAACAAAACAAAAAAGTATTTCGCAATATGGCAATGGTAAATTGTGAAATTATTTACAAACTTGTATTAGTCAATAACGATTCTAGGAACATTGCCTTGTTTATTTACTTGGAAATGTTATATGTTTTCGACCTTTATTTTTGAGAGCAACGACTTTAAATCCTTAAAAAAAATCGATAGCGCAAAAAGAATAAATTTCACTACTGCAAAATATCCATACACAAGTTTTTATTTATTCTAATGTACAATATATATATATTTTTGTAAATCTTTTATAATACTTCAAATGCCGCTGGGGCACATAATAATAGCTTTGTTCATATTTTTTTTAATAATATGACTGGAATCACATTCCTTGTTTTTGTGCAGGACATCACATATTTTGTTTTCTTTAGAATTAACTAAAGTTCGCCTCATTTTGTTATCAAAATTATATGAAAAGATGGAAAAAACTTTCATTTTATTTACACATTCTCTTCGATAAAGTCAATAAAAAACACAAAGAGAAAATAGAAATATAATTTAAGTACACAAACCCCTCCAATACACATTTCTGTACAATATATATATCATTTATATATATATATATAATTTCTGCTTTTCACAATATATAAAATTATTGAGCTAACTCCAAGTCTTTTTTTTATTTTAGTATAAAAATAACAAGCACTATTTTATCTAACGATAAAATTAAGAATTCTCAAATGTCAGCTGCCGCATTAAAATGACAGGAAAAACTAAATATCGAATAAAAAAAGATATTTCGTTACTAGAAGCACAAAGCAGCGTTACTTTTTTTTCGAAGATTATTTTTCACTTTATCGAAAATAGTATACTTAAATAGCAAAACGCGATATTGCTAGGATAATTATTATGGCATTAGATTCAGTTAATAGTTCATCCTACGTAATGCCCTAATTTTAACCGGCAGATAGGAAGAATTGCGAAACTATCAATACTTGCATAGATCAAGGTATGATACTTCCAGGAACTAGCATTATCACTTCATCTGAGCGGAAAAGGCACGTAACGTTCCATCCGAAAACATTTCTTATAATATTTTTTGGTACAACAGGCAATTATTTTTTGATCAACCGACTTAAAAATTGTGACTAATCATAATTTGGCAACCACTCTTAACGTGATCCATCACTTGTTCTTTGAGTTGGCAGATTTGATCCCTCAGTTTGTTAACCACGTTACCCAGTTCACTATTTTCGTTTTTTAGAGCGGCTACTTTACTTTCTAAACGGGTTATTCGTTCGAGTTTCCTTTTCCTGCACTTACTGGCGGCGATCCTATTCCTTTCACGCTTCCTTTCCAGCTTGATCTTCTCCTGGTTTTCCATGTCGATGGGGGAGAGAGGCGGTGTCACTCCGATGCTGGGTACAGTCTGTGGTTCGTCTTTGATGGTAACCAGAGCGGTGGGTACCGTAACCAGGGTTGCGTCGTTGCTGTTGGAGGTTTCATTAGCCGTTGTGCTGGGTGAATAGGCGAGGACGGTACATGACGAGGTTATGACGGCCGAATTATCGGACGAAATGACCGGTTGTGGTATGATGCTACCCGCGCTGGGTGCAGTTGACTGATGAAGTTGAGCCAATGCGTCGACGAATCCCCTGGCGTACTGCTCCTGTTCCTCGGTGACCGTCTTGGAAAATAGAAACTGTGTCGGAGTCGGCGTTGTCGTAACTAAACCATTCTGTGCTATTATCAGCCTTTCTAATTCTGGAGAAGCTAGTTTTAGCATATTTAAGTCAGGTGATGACAAAAGTGTTGTGAATTTACTTTTCTTGCCGATTTTAGGGCTGTCCAAATCCAGCGTCATTGTCCTTTTTAACGTTTTGATGTCTTCTTTCGAGCGAAATTGAGAGTCCTCGTAGAAAGTCGTCTCCATTTTGGTTAGGAAAGCTTCGATGTCGACACCACAATACGTTCGTACTGGATGGATGGAGATAGCGCGGTATCCACGTTGCCTGCTTACACGTCGATGGCCTTTGATGAGCTGATGCCGACTATACTATAAATGTACGTTATACGACGAAAAACGGTCGATTTTTCACCTTAAACCTGTACTATATCGTGACTCACCTAGACTTCGTCCTATCCTACTTTATAACGCTGACTCACGATACCCAGGATGGCGTGATGTCACTTTCTCCTCTTCCTATTGGCTGCCGATGACGTCACCTCTAGGGAATTTACCCAATTATTCTTTTCGCGAAAACTACGTCGTACGGATGACGCCGAGTGACGTACTACCGCGCCTACCAATCGCGTTACGACAAACGATTCTCGTCTGCTTCCGTTGTAGCGGGAAATTGGAGTGAAGAGCATTCACTAAGGTGATTTTTTTTTTTTTACTTTGCTTTTTACTATCCGTTTTAATCGGATAAATATATCATTTAGAAAAGATATGCTCCGTAATGATATGTTTATAAACAATAATTACAATTAACTTCCTAGTTAGTTTTTATTTACAAAAAGATATTTTCGTGGAAACCCTATTTTTTCATTTATCACACGACAATTAATTATTAAACATTATTTAATATGAATTATAATTTTTTTAAATAGTCTATATTAATGTACTTTATAATAATTAATTAACATAAATTCAAAACAATAATGAACAGCGATAATAATGTTTAACAATTCATTACGTATTATTTAACACGTGTTACCGCAAAGCTCAACCAAAACACTACTACACTTATTACCTATATTATGACGGAGTTTAAAATCTACGTCATAAAATATTTAATAGGTAAGTATAGTGATTGTAAAATCAATACATTCTCTTGTTAGCTTGAACAAATTTACGTTATGTTCATTGACGAAGATGATTTCAAGTACAAATACGAAATTCACACCTTTGAATTTCACACGTGTTTACAATTTATACAATCTAAAATATATTTCCTGTGTTTTGTTTGTTCCTGCTTAGCATTTACATGTCCATTTATTGTATTTATATTGATTGAAGATAAAAATTATTAGAAAATATAATTTTTATCTTCAATTTTTATTTTTTAAAATGTGGATTTTCTTATAAATAATCTTATAAATAAAATATTTAGAAGATACAATCCACATTTTAAAAAAATTAAGTAACATTTTTATAATTTTTAAAAAATTTTTGAATAAATTTGGTTTTATTATAGGCCTATATATATTTATGTACTGTACAGTAGGATCTTTTTCGATTTTAAAATTAAATTAGGTCACAGTAAATAGAGAAACCTGTTGAAATTTTCGATTCTAAGCCTATGATAGCTTTGTCATACTTATTCATCAAAAATTATAATTAATTTGCCTCTAAATCTGCTTATGATTTTACATTTTAATAACAAGATAAAGTTGACAATATTGTTATTAAGAGTTTTATATGATGTCTAGTTTTAGTAGTGATATTTTTTCTATTGAAAATGAATTTAATATTTTAATAATGAAGAATATGAATATTAAACATTTATATTATTTAACCACACTGTTTACTATTAACTTCCAAAAACTCTAAACCCTTTAATTCAAATAAAAGTTAATTCTAAAAATTTATGTGACAAAAATATAGCGGTTTAAAGCATGATTTTCAGTCTACAATAAAATTAAATGTAAGATATAGATATATATAGAAATAATTTTATGATCCAGATCTTAGAACGGTGTTTAAAAATCAACAAAATTACACTACCTATAGAAACATTATTCAACCTGTTCGTGCATGACTACAGTCACGTGTACTGTACTGTACTGTACTGTACATTTTCATTCTCCGTTAAAATTGTTTTGTTTATATCACATGTTATATACGTTATGCGTTTTAAGATGTGATACTTATTTCATAGTTTTTCGTATTTTTTACACGAAGAAAGTTTATAACTTTAGCATCGATGCACAGTAATTAAATTAATTAATTTATTTATTATCTCCAGTTAAGTTAGCTAATGTTAGTTTTTAAAATGAAGACAAAAAACGCCCATATATTGAATAAATCAAATGTTTATATTCTTATGTATTTTAATAAGTATATCAAAAATCTACTAAAGAATCATATAAGCTATGCTAAATATTTTATTTTTTAGTGGTAGTGTAGAAAATATTTCGTTAATTTTCATAAAAATTTTTATTGTATGTTTTTATATTTTTTTTATTTTATTTTTCAAAAGACACTGTGGCCAGGTTGGCCTTTTACAAGCATCTTAACAGTTAATCAAAACAAACAAACAAACAAACAAAATTAGTTCATTTTAAGTAGTTAAAAATCATATTTTGCAAATTTTGCATTATAATTNTGGAGAATATTTTGAAAATCGCGATTAAAAATATAGATTTTGTAAAGATGATTACTGTATTTTGCATTTATTTAGTGAATGTAATTTGCTGAATACGATTTACCAAATAAAACTTTTTAATATCATTAAAAAAAGATAATAATTACGTGGTCTTCAAATAAAATTACATAATTATTACTGAATTCAATTAAAGCTTCTTCATTCTAGTTTTATCTTAAGTTCTGAACTTTTAAAATAAATTATGAGTTTATCTGATTATTTAAACGTATCGAACGGAATGGATTCAGTATTGATTAAATTGATAATAATAAAAGAAAATCAAATTTTTACAGAAATTAAGCAATTATGATAGTGTCAAACAATATACGTCTACAGGATTTTAGAATAAACTTTTGCGATGTAAATAGTAACTCTTTTTTAAAAATCTGAACCTTACTAGAAATTGAAATCGATTTTTAAATTTTACAAAAATTGTTAGAAACTAAAGCTTTACTAATAAAATACGTTTAAAGAGACAATGTTAATTTTAATTTATAAATTTATAGAAAATTAATAAACATACTATGATGATAAACAGTATATAGTAATTTTTATTATTTAACATTATCCAATTTGTATTTCGATTCTATGAATAGTTACATAAGTAGGCTATGTAATTTTTCTATAAGAAAATTATATAAAACTATTCAGAAATTATTTTATAATAAGATATTTATTGATGATAATATTTCTCATCTGACAATTATTAAGCCTGAATTGATTTATGAGAAATGAATACTTATATATTAATGGAATATTCACGATTATTTTATATTAAGTAAGTAATGGTGGAATCGAAATGAAAATTGGGTGATGATAAGTAATAAAATAATAAAAATGTTTTTTCTCCGAGATAAATTTATAAATTAAAATTAACAACAATTAACGCTATTTATTTAAAATGTTATAATATTAGTAAAGCTTTAATTTTATAATTATTGAGAAAATTAAAAATGGACATTGATTTTAAAAATTAAAATTTACAATACAAAAAGTTTATTCTAAAACCCTATAGACTTATATTGAATATCGTTATTATCACTGTTACATAATTTCTATTTAAAAAAGCTATTTTGATATAATCAGTCTATCAACATTAATTGTTTTAATTTCCATAAAATGAATGTTAAACTTTGTTTATCTGATTTTTTATTTTAAAAGTTTTTGTTGATAACGCGTATATATACTGTATATATATTTACAGCAGTATATTTTATAGACACTGCCTACAATTATAATGTTAACTGGCGTGTAGTTTATTTCGGAAATAAAAAATTAAATTATTCATTTTGTTTTATTTTATAGGCTTTTGTAATATTCAAAGAATATTTAATATATAAATTAAATCTTAAATCACTAAAAGTTTTATTTCAAACTTATTTATAAGATTTATTTTTCTTGTACCGAATGCATTTCTCTATTTTTTAATTCGAACGTTTATTTCACACGTGACTTACAATTTTTTATCATTGTGTATTAACGTTTAAATTTAAAAAATGAACTTACTACGATAAATTTAAAAACTATCAGTTTTAAATTCGCTAGTTGTAGATTTATACAACTACAATAATTATTTTGTTGCGCAATATTACAAAAAGAAACAAAATAGGGAGATTTCTTACGAACAAAAAATATAATAAATACTTTAGTTTCAATATATTAATAACGAGAATACCTATTAGCAATGAATGCTTTAATACTTATCTTAGAAGTGATAATAAAATTATACAAGTTACATGAAAAAAATTATATTTATTTGCTTGCGATACGTATAACAAAACGAAAATGAGTGAAGTATAACTAAAGTAATCATAAACGTTTTTTTAGAAAAATGAATGGTTTTTCCTGAACCGAAGTAGCCGAACAATAAATAATTGACGCCTATATGGCTGGTCACCAGCAGCGATAGACGCAAATACGATAAAAACGCATTCTCTCTTCGAAAGTCAGCCATATAGAATAATAATAATAGGCGAAATATTATTATAATACACATTAACTACACATTAATTTATAAAAAAGTAATTTATTTATTTAATGTAATGTCTGCATCAGTTGAAAAACAATGCTATTAGCCTTATTTGATCTCATACATCTTTGGATTAGTTATTTCGTGATAGTTTCTAAGCCAACAAATCCTATCTAGATTTATATGCTTAAAAACGCAATTATATCACTACTCCTTCCTTTTATATGAATCTTGATAAATACAAGTAGAGATCTTGATTGACGATAAAAGAGGCAAATTTAAATTAAACGAAATTTGCAAAATGTAGACAAATCTTGTGATTAATAATGTATGATATTAACAGTAAAAATTTCCACGAAGATTAGGTGCAGATCAAATTGACACGACGATCGTATCTGCGAAAAAAAAAAGTGGAGATTGATAGCTATACCACTTTATATCGTTACCTATTTTTATTTCGCTATCAATCTTCAATTAAAATTTATGATTTTAATTTTAAATGTTTTAAAAAATCACCGATGTTAGTAGACATTAAAAAAAATGTTTAAACTCTGTAAGCTCTTTGGTTTATTGCTTATAAAAGTATAAATCAGGGGTGTCCAACCCGCGGCCCAAGGCAAGTTCCAATGCGGCCCAATAAACGTGTAAACAAAACCGGCAAATGTTTNCGATTTTAACCAGTTCTATAGTAAGGTAACATTCCAATAGACAATATGCAAAGCTTTTTTTTTCAGTTTACAGCAGTATTTATTACACAAAATTTAAGTAAAGCTTAACATGCCGACTTGTCCCGGTCTCCCCTAATTGTTACATCATCTCTGATAAA